CATACAGTATGTTTTGTGATGCATGGTTATAACTGGCTTTTTATTCTGATTGCAGAAAAGCGAGCCTGCCTCTGTCTGCCTCTGAACCCCAAGTCCACAGGGTGAGTAGCTCTACATACACTACCTGCTGTATTTCATGATGAACTGGATAAGATGCTTCATTTTCTTATGCAGTATCCAGCCTTTTCCTGAACCTTTTATGCTCTATAGTGCAGTCAGAGTAGCTTTATCTACTAGGTTATAACCAGCTAATTTGCAAATAAAAAAGACTGCAGCAGCACCGAGCTTACACTTGGTAGAGGAAAATAATTGACTTTCAGGACCATGTGTGATATAACTAAATCAGTCACTTCTGGTACTAACTACAGCTAAACTACGGCTCAGGTGGTGCTTCAGTTGCCCTTTTCTTTTCTAGTTTGCACTAAGAGAACACAAGAAGTAGTGGCTTTTTTTGCAGGGTAGCCAGTGGTGGACGCCAACTGGAAAATCTGCAGTGGAAAATACTTGAATTTGTTGAAATGACCCAGGCCTTTATTTAAACTACCTTTAAAAATTCATAATGTTGATAGTACTTTGCAAATGATGTCAGAGACAGGTGAAAATATCAAAAAAGCATCAGGATAAGGATAGGATAATTGTCATGTTCTCCCAGTTTACTGCTAATGTGTTGCTGTTAAAGCCACAGCAGAACTTTATTTCTTTGTAAAATGTTTAATTTGGCTCCATCACTGGGTCTGGTAAAAGCATTGTGTGTATCTTTAACAGTAGTTGCTGTTAAACGACTTCAGATTAGCAATCCAGCAAATTGGCAGTCTCAGTAATGAGTGAGTGTAACTGCTGAATTCAGCAGCAAAGTTAGCTCATGTAACTTATGATCTCATTTGCTGTTAGTTATAATCTAGAGCCAAAGTGGAAGATAGTATCTTGCAGAGGTAAGAGTATGCCCCGACTATTTTCCCACTTAGTGTCTGATGTAAATTTAAAATGCATTCAGAGAGCTACTGTTCCATATTGCTGAGGAAATGCATTCAACATCCTGGTGACTGTTTATTTATGAGTACTGACAGGCAGCTTCCATTAAGGAGCACAGGGTTGGTTCACAATAATAATCTAATGCCTGTGAACATGCAAATTAGTGAATTAATCACCTTTGCTGAGGCTTTCAAAACTTAACACTGATCCTATTTGGGTGTACTCAGTTATAAAATCTAACACTTCAACATCCAGTAGTCTGTAATTCATACGTTAATGGCAAAGTAAATAGGGTTAGGAATTGGAAAAAGCCTCTGAAATGAACAAAGGTTAACCACTGAGTGACTCCCAGCTGAAACATATCACAGTACTAATGTACATATTTACATTGCATAACAACGTCTGAGAGCACGTGTTGGACCAGAATCTCACATCACTGTTGGTCTTAGACCTGTCACCTAAAAAGTCATAAGGGAGTAAAGATTTGGATAAGATGACAAAATTCTCTTCATGCAGCAAAAGCACAGCCAGGATCCATATCAGTGAGTGCGGTGTAAAGGCACGTCATGTATAATCTCATAAGACTATTATATTCTGAACTTGCAATGAGATAAACCAGCGATTTTTATCCCACGATCCATAATGAATCGAGACCGCGGCTGGCTCACTCAGATTGTAATCTGCGCCAGACAGAGTGCCCTCACGGCTCTTTTCCAAATTTACCTCCCCACTCATCCAGCCTCAAATGCTGGAACGTCTCCAGCTCTAACCAGTCGCAAAGCAGTGGTTTTCCTGCATAAACCTCTAGCATCTGTCCGTCTTCTAAATGAATCTGTCTTCTGAAGCGCTCACTGAAAAAGAAAAGTTTTTTTATTTTATTCTCCTGTTTTCTGTGGAGGGTAAGTAATATCCCGCCTGAAGCCAATCTATTCGGCACTGCGCCTACCTTTCATGGCAACTGGAGAAACAGAAACAGGCAGCCAGAAATAGAAAGCTGAAGAAGAATAGGGGGAAGACAGAGGAGTATATATGGTTGTTGTGATAAGAAATGAGGAGCGACCAGACATGCCAGTAGCATTTACAAAGAAACATAATTCACATTCAGCAGACATCAGCTGAAACTGTGCAGTTTCTAGATTAGGAGCAAAGAGCTTTCACCAGGAGCCTGGTGAGGAGGCTGTTGCTTTACAGCTGATGGGAATGTTTGAAACCTGCAATAGACTCCAACAGGACACTGCAATCTTTAATTTTTCCTTTTATCTCTGTTGTCTCTTCACTCGCAGAGAGTCCCAGTTCAGCACCAAGCCTTTTGAGCAGACACTCAGTGTGGATCTGTGTGGAACAGCAGGTTGACTCACCTTTACTCATCTCTATGTTTGGATATACATCGATGTCAACTGGTTACAACTCTAAAGATACAGTCATAAGCGATAGTAGGTCCAAATCTTACTGTAGTTTGGGAGAACAGGCTACCAGAAAGCCAGGCATCGACTTTACAGAGCTGCAGGTGCTGAATGTTTCTTAAAGGAATTGTTTGGCATTTTGCAGAGTCAGGTGAGAAAATTAGTTCCACATCTGTACAGTAAATATGAAGCTGCAGTTAGCAACTGGTTAGCTTAGCATAAAGACTGAGAACACAGGGAAACAGCTAGCCCCTTCCTGTCCAGGATAACAAGGGCAGGACCTCAAAGGTCACTGCTTAACATATTATAACTGATGACAAATCCAAATGTCCCCTTTTGGTTAAACAAGGAGGTGGTGGACTATTTCTTGCCACAGCACAGTTTGTATCCTGCTCATGTAGGTATCCCTTCCCTCCCCTGCCAGGTCTCACCCCGCCCACTACCCCACCTCACAAATCTGTCGAGGACGAGCTCTTCAAGCCAGCAGAGGGAGGAAAAGCTGGTGGAGGAACAGGTGGCTGCAGCAGTGGCGATGGTGGAGGAAGCGAGTCTGTTCACCCTGCTTCAAACACAAACAACACTAGTGCCACAAAGAGCTCATCCTGGCTGAGCCGCAGCCACCACCAGCGGAAGCTTCCAGAACAGACCGAGCTGTATGCCCAGCTACGGCGCATGGGCCAGGCTGGTGATGGTGACACCCATTGTAAATTTGGTGACCACGACTATTGTGCACTGAGCCTTGGCGAACGCCGCAAACGCAGTGCAGACATGTTTGGTGCCATGTTGCAGGTGCAAAGGAGCAGCGATGGCCTTGGCACCTCAGCACCTGGAGCAGACGGCAATCAGGTATCTGATGTGAAGGGCAAGGAGGATGAGGAGACGCTGGTGATGTCAGAAGGCGCAGAAGCACAGGAGCAGGAGACGACAGTGGTGATATCATCAGACTGCCAGTCAGAAGCAGCCACACCACCAGCCTCAGAGGAAGAGGCAGAGTGCTCATCAGCATCTCGCTCACCCTCACCCACCCTCCACCTCTGTCCAGACTCCCCCGCCAGCAAGACAGACTCTAGGTGAGACAGACTGGGTGTGAGGGGAGGGAATGGGAAAGGAACGTGTGGCTCAAAGAGATTAGATTAACAGTGAAACACAGAAGGAAGTATCAGATAGAAGACAGAGAAATGCAAGAATAGGGTGGAGTCAAAGTGGGAGAATGAGAGAAAGAAGAGTCTTGTATCACTGAAGGGCATTTACACTCTCCAAGTGACTCAGTGTGGCTTTGTCAGCATATTCTGCAGAATAGATCAAACCAACAGCCTCACATCACAGCCTCTACGGTCTGACCCTCCGCCTGTGTAGCTGTAAAAAAAAAAAAAAAAAAGGCTAAAGGTAGTGTTTTGTTTTCTTTTATACAGAATTTGGATAAATATCACAGTGAGCGATGCCTAATTATATAAACACTATATAATGGAAAAGTCTAACATTTGACCATTTCACAGCCTCATCACATCTCCCAAACCTAGCAACAAAAGATCAGGTTTAATGCTGGAGGCTGAAGCCTTAACACCACATGTATGTGGTTGAGATGCACTGCATTGTAGTAGTTTATGTAATTAACACGGCTGTTGTTTTTGATGTAAGTTTTGACGTGATTGATGGTGCATTTCAATCACAAATATCTGCATGTAGGGCAATGCACTGGGCTGTGAAGGAGAGATTCAGTCAACTGCTATAATCTTTAACATGTAAACTTGATTTTTCAGGCAATGTAGTTTGGTTGTTTCACAGAATAAAGTCATTTCTGTTGATGGAAGACAATAAGTGTAGGAGTTTAAGAGAAAAAGTAAAGAACTGGAGTTGGTGGAAGAAAATCTGTGCAGTTCACCCATTTCCTCATGTCTGACATTTCAGTTTCACCTTGTGTCCTTATCTCACTGTCTGTCCCCTCTCTCTGCCTCCCCCCTTTTTGTCCTCGTCCTTCTTTAGTGAGAACTCTGAGATCTGTCCCGACGACAAGCAGAGGAACAAAGCCAAGTCTGATGAGGTACATTCTCACACTACAGTCTCTCCTGTATACTGCAATAGTATAGAATTAAAGAGACAGGCTCAACTGTCCTGAGCTCACCAGCAGACTTTTTTTTGACCCAAGTCAAAAAAAGAAACAGGCTCAACTGTCCTGAGCTCACCAGTGGCCCAGACTATTACACCTAAAGCAAAAAGGCTATGCCCCAGAACATTCAAAGGTGATTTTGGTGCATATGCTTAGACGTGTAATCAGACAAATACAAACTGATAAAGTGTCCTGTAGCTTTTTATGCATACTGCAGCTGCAAGATATGAGTAATACAGTAGACTGCATTTAAATGAACACAGGACATCTGAAGTGTTGAGCCTCAACATGTCTGTATGCTGTATTGTCCTTTGTACTGACTGTTGCCATGGTTTCTCTGTTGCCAGGACAACTGCCAGGTGTTTTACATTCACAACCTGCCGAGCAGCGTGACCCAGAACATGCTGAGGAAACGTTTCCAGGTCTTCGGTAAAGCTGAGGACTGCAAAGTCATCATCTGCAACGAGTAAGTGTCCTGATCTGTGTTCCTCCATCCGAACAGAGGAGACATGGGAGCCTGTTTTTTGTGCTACGGTATGTATGTAGGCAGTGTACGATGCCTGGTTCAGATCACACAGTTCCTTTTTGTCTGATAAGATGGTCACCATGTCAGATTACGCGATCATAAATTTTTGCTATGACTCGGACGAGGGATATGACAGACTACATGTTGGTACCGGACGGCAGAGTCCTGCACGAGGTCCAATTTTGCAAACCCGCACCCATAAAGCTCCCTATCAGACCCAACACACATAGTTAAAATAGACTTTAAGCCACACAGTCGTTCACTTTAAAGTGCCTGAGAGTTGTGTTCTTGAAAAAGTATCTGTTGATGGACGCGGCACCTGGGCTCCATGCAGCTGTTTCCTTATAGTGGAGAAGTGCCTACTAGCTCGCGGCTATCAAACGCCAACACTTTTTGGCACCTTTTACAAGCAACAAAGCTGCTGATAACGTTGTTCTCTCTGTCTGTAACCACGCCAAATTTCTCCTATAGGTCCAACTTGGCCTCTGATATGTATTGTCCACAATTCTGTATTCACCACTGGCCATTTTCACTTTTAGGTTATCCAGTTTGACGCACTGATGCCTACGTTGATGTCTGGGTGACGTCTTATTAGCTGCATGTGAGTTGACGGGTCAAAGGTTGTGCCATAGGCCTTCGCAATAAATGTATCTGTTACTTAGGCTTGATTAAATTATGCTGGATTAGATGTTTAAAAGAAGCTGCGCCTTTATTTTTTTTCCCCAATTGTTCACTCGCTACCTGCCCGCATTTAGTTTATCTTTACCCGCGCTTGGGAGTGAATTTAAACGTATTTTTTACCCGTTGCACATCATTTTTGTGGGTTACCCGTCGAATGTAAACAGAAAAGTGTGTGTCATACTAACAGCTTGTGGATCGGAATGATAAAATAAGGGAATTGGGATTCATTTTATGTAGCAATTAATAACAGGCGTTTTAAGCTAGTAATGAAACCAAAAACTAGCCAGCTAGCCCTGACAGTGAAAGTCAGTATGCTAACATTAGCTGCATGACTCTGATATTTAGGATGATTCTGTCCAGTATACCAAAGGTGTTGTGAACAGAAGATCGGTCTGTGCTCCTCCTCTTGGTCAGCCCCAACACATTGTAGAAGTAGAAAAAAAATTCGGACATGCTAGACTTTGTGTCAGGACCTCGTGAGGCACCCCAGATACAGCATTGGTCATCGTTTGCTATGGCACACTATACAAGATAATCGACTGATTCTCGTATCCGACTTCCTATGACCATCGGGACGGATTGTTATCAGGCTTAAATTGTGTAGTCTGAACCCTGTCTTGTGTCAAAATCTGTTCCCCGTCTAAATGTTTCCTCATTAAAACTGTGTTTCTAGTAGCGGCCCCCTCTGTGGTTATGTGTTAGGGTCAGGGTTCAGAGGAAGCATCCTGACGGGAAACACATCTCGACACAACACCGGCATTAGTTGCACAGACAGTTTAAAATGCAGCCTTTATAATCAGATAATGCTGCAGTGTTATTAATTCATTCTAGATGAAGATGTTAAGTGCTCGAAAAGAACCGAGGTGGTAGGGGTGGTTAATGAAATGTAAATACCTGTAGCAACTCATCACAAATGCTCATCGCAGTTCACCTGGTGTAATTTGCCAACCTGTTGAGACATGAGAATGCAAGAAGGCAGTATTTGTCAGAGGGTCAGAATATTAGGAACACTTATGAATGCAATGTAGTCCAGCACAACACCACCTTTTAACTAAGACCTTAACAATAAACATAATTGAATTTATATTTATGACAATTTCACCAAAAATGAACACTTTGAGCTTCATTAACATAGATGTTAAGTGTTGCATTGAAGTGTGTACAACTGTACAGGTGTACCTAATAAAGTGGCTGGTCAGTGTATTTTGCCTGAAATAAAATGTCAGGCCTGATGGTGCGATTGCAGTTTGTGCTTCCAGTGTTGCTGTTTATGTTCCAATTCAAAGTTGTCATTTTCTGTGACAATTTTTAATCCTCAGTCTAAAATGCTAACTTTATAGTGAAACACAGATTAACAGTGCTGCCGCCAGCCCCCAGTTCAAATGCCACACTTTCCAACGTCTCCCTGATAGAACTGGCGTTGCTCCCTGGACTGAAATGGATCTTGATGTTATTGATGAGCTTTTGTCCTTTCACTTATTTTAGATGTTTGTACTTTTAAAATGAATAGTGATGGCATGTACTTCAGCTTGCATACAAAACAGGCTTTAGGGACAGATCAAATCAGTAATCAGCTAGTTTTTTGTTTCCTTTCTTCTCCATTTCAGCCAATTCATTTAATTTAATTCTTTAACTTTGTACATTCAGAATGCATGATTGAGGAAACATTCCTCATCTGCACTGATGCCATTATGTACTTTCTTTATCTCCTCAAAAGCAAAGTGTCGATGTAATGTGTCTGACCTTCTGCCTGTCTGGTCGCAGGGAGCGCTGTGGGGTGATAAAGATTCGCCAGTCGGGAGTTCAAAGACATTGGAGAGACAGTGGACCTGCGGGCCCGAGGAGACTGACAAGGAAACGCTACATAGACCTTGGTGATGAACACACACACACAATAGAAGGGAAAAAATACTGTAAATGCTCATTACCTAAAAAAAATAGCAAAAAAGACTGATAGGAATGTATTCTACACTTACACAACTTGGATGTTGACCCCTTCCATATAGTGATGACCTCGATTTTCTCTTTTTTAGATGAGGCAGGTCCAGGCCCTGTCAAGAGCAAATATGATGCACTGGACTTCGACACTCTGCTGATGGAGGCCCAGAAGTCCCTGCACCGCTGATGCCACAATGCCCGACTGGCCAGCCTTAGTAAACTGCAAGATCCCTCCGACTACACGGCTCTGCCCTCAGAGAGGCCGCTCAATACCTCCATGCAAGGCAACCTCGCAAAATGTTTACATTTTTACCATTGGAATAAAGTAATGATAAAGACCTTGTTCTTTTTTTAAATTCCTTTCACCGGAGGATACTGCTTAAAAATGAGGAAGCCACTGGGAGTCCAGAGGAGTTAAGAGACAGTGGAGGAAATAGAACTTTTAACAGCAATGATACGACTACGAACAATTGTGATCCGTTCTCTGCTGAACAACGATAACAGCGAAGCTGCTTCCTGTCTGTCAGTGACATCATCGCCCTGCCTTGGAAGAGCAGGTGTGAGAGACCTCTGTAGCAAATCCTTGCTATCCCTGCGTTACATTGGTCGTCGTGGTGTGTTTCTGCGTGTTCTTTGTTCTGTTTGTTTTGTAAAAACACATACAAAAAAATTCCCTCTTTCTGGTCACAGGTGGTGAACCACAAGCTGTGTTCACCATCAAGTTGTGTGGTTGTAAAGCCAGAAAAAGAAAAAAAAATCCTGGTTTGTTTTAATGAAAAATTGAGGCTGTTCTAGGTTTTGAAATCTACCGTGTGTATATTATTCACAAAGATTTTGGCAAAAAAAAACAACAAAAAACAATGTAATCATGTGGTGACTGATAAAGTTTACAAATCTAAAATGAAAAAGAAAAAAAAGTTTCTTTTTTGTAATTGTAGTGCTTCCTGATTTGATCTATGCACTGCAAGGAAGCAAATGCCTCCACTGTCCCCCTTTGACTCTAATCTCTAACTCTGCCATGCTGGCGATTTTGGCTTCTGCTACTGGCTGCTGCGGCTTGTTTAGCAGGCGTGTTGTCCATCAAGTACGAAGGAGTTTTAGGGCCACACTGAAGAAAATAGAAATCAGTTATTGCGAGAGAAGAACAAAAATCGCAATTTTATGAAGATAGGCTAATTTCACAAGATTAAAGTTGTAATTTTATGAGAAAAAAGCCATAATATGTGATTAAAGTAAATTTTATAGCTAAATATGGGACCATCACCTAGCCTATTTAGGCTACGGGACACTACCACCTGTGTTAAATGAGGAAGGTGGAGCATCTCATTAAGTTATAGACCGAATTGGTTTCACAAATAAGGAAATAATCTTCTGGCTCATCAGGACCAGATCATCATAAGCTTAAGGACTTTGACAGTAATGTGCAAAAAACATTGTATATTCCTGAGGGAAAACCACACATACAAGGCGCTGAAGTTGGCATGTGATTCATAGCCTCCAAGTTCTCCACCTAAGGGGAAAGTTAAGGGGAACTGCAGTACAAATTGATATTTTCTGATTGTTTTTATCCTAAGTTTTTTTCACCTCAGGCCAGTGAGAAGACCAAGAGAAAGTTAAGGGAAACTTAAATTACAGTAAAAATCAATATTTTCTGCCTTTTTTCAAAGGTATTCATTTGATAATGTTGTGGGTGTTAGCCATTCTAGAAAGACCCCTGACACTTAGTGAAACCGGCTTTAAATTTGTGAAAACTTTAACTGCAACACAGGACAATTGTGTTGTTTTTTTTTTTTACCCCTAAATAGCCCATGTCAAATCAGGCATAGATCCAAAACCACAACATAAATGACCAAATCTGGACTAAATTATTAAGGACAATTTAAAGAATATTTCAAGCACAGTTTCTGATTTGTGAAATCCTTTTCCCTACTGGTCTTCCCACGGGCCTCAAGTGAAAAAAACCCAGGGGAAAATAAAACGGACAATCTCTATTTGTACTGTAGTTCCCCTTAACTGGTGAAATCAGAGGCTATGAATTGGATGCCAACTTCAGCGTCATGTAGGTGTTGTTCTCTCTTCAGAACAGACAAAGTTTCTTGCACATTCTTTTGATGATCTGATCCTAATGAGCCGGAAGATGAAAATAGATTTCCCAAATAAGGAAATAAAGGTGGCCAATAACTTAAAGAGATTCTGCACGGTCCTCATTTTAACACAGGTGGTAGTGTCCTGTTGCCTAAAAAAGCTAGGCGATGGTCTGTTGAGCTAATAAAATCGACAGTCTCATAATATAATGCCTTTTCTCTCATAAAATGACTATAACGTTGTAATTTTACAAGAAAAATATTAGGGTTTTTTCTCTAAAAACAGATTTAAATTTTCTTCAGTGTGGCCCTAATGATCTGTAATAACAAAGACCCCAATTTGGATTTGGGAAAAATTTTACTTCAAAATTGTTTCCAACTGATTCAGTCCAAAGCTAGTACTAGACAATACATCTTATCATGAATGTTGCAGGTTTTGGACAGAGTGCCATAGTAGTGAGTCCTGAAACCCAAAACTAAGTTAGCATCTTTGCACTTGCGGTTCCTTCGCCCTAAACCCTATGGGTTTTTTGAATGTGTTAAACAACTGAGATAAGGTCTGTGGTTAACATAATATTTAATAGGTCATCTGTTCAACTAAAGAGAGGTAATGGTTAAACTTTGTCTGGATAGTCTGCTCTTATCCAGTGTCCCGTTACATGAATAACTGTCACTGAATTTCAAATCATAGCTGAAACACATTTAATCCCTGTTTTGCCATAGTGTAAGAAAGATCCTAAGAAAAAGTCTACGTCGGATTCGTGATGTGGTCTTAAACCACAGAATAGTTTGCGCCTTTTTTCTTACAGTGATGAATCACATTGTGTTCCTAAGTTGAAAGCATATGCCAGTCGTTTCTATTTAACATAGCCATAGGTAAACGCTTCGCCAAATCCACATAAAAGGGCAGGG